CTGATGAGAGGGCGCAAGAGAGTGTTGACTAGCGCACACAGTCACCGTAATTGGGACGCTAGTCAAAGAGTCGGAGTCTCGAGTCGACGACCGCCGCAACGAGAGCTACGCTGTGCTGTCCGCTTTGCGCTCAATCAGTCAGCAGCGCAGCTTGGATTTCACAATCAAAATTCGGAATTGTGGACGCGTTGAATCACGAATGGTATGAAAATTCGAGTCTGGCTTTAAATCACGCATCCTCGTAATCGTCGCCAACTTCAGTTGTCACTAAAGGATTTGGATAGCCCAGAGCATTTCAAATCAATCATCCAACCCCTGCGGCTCCGCCATCAACCTTACAATAAATACTCAAGATTACACTTAGCGCACAGGTCAAAAGTCGAAACGTGACCTCGACGCCAGCAGGAGACTGTGATGCAGCTTAATCAAATTTGATTTAAGCGCACGGCCGCTGTATTGCAAGCAAGCAGCTCATGATGACCTGCATCGCCTCGACCACAACAAACACCAAACTCAACCACTCACCGACAGCCATCCGAGCAAGCCAAGTACCCGAGTGAGAACACCCCACTGCTCCATTCCGAGTCAGTACTCCTTCGGCAAGTGAAGCTCAGCCATCAGGGGTGCTCGCCAAACCTGACCTCGGGGCCGCGAGGTACGAGAGACGCGCCCACAGCGCTTGTTGTATTTGCACCGTTTCGTCAGCTTATTCGAGGGCACAGAGCGACAACGCGCGCCCTTGACTCTGTGTGGTCGAACATCATACACGAACTGCATGTCTCTAGTGCTGTGTTTTGGTGCTGAAAGGACCTCACAAGAACAAAGACGACCCTGCAAGACAACATTGGACCAGAATGCAGGGCAGCGCTGCGAACAACAAACACGAGGCTCCTTCGAGCACTTCCACTTCGAAGGCTCGCAGTATGAGTGGGGCAAGTAGTTCTCAATCAACTCAACAGCACAGCATCAAAGGCCCTTCCTCGACCACCAGCAGCCCTGGTCGCAGCGCAGCGAATGCCAGACCACGATCCTCATCGCGTCAGCACACGACTTCACAGGCCGAGGCGCCCAGACACAGCAGGGCAGGTGAGCACTCTGCAAGCGCAGATCAGGTTCTGGGCGGTGCTGCGCATCTCTCTACCAGCGCAAAAGCTCGTGCAGCAGTCAGTGGACCAGGTCGATTACCTCAGAGAAGGGCTTCGCACGACTCTGGTCAGCCTCAACCTCGCCTCGCAACTGCGGGCGCCTCGAGCAGCCGATTGCCTGCATGGCAACAAGCGACCTTGGCCCCTCACCATGCGCAGCAGATCTTTTCGTCTGTAAATGGACCACCGCGAACGCAAATGAACGGTGTCGTGGGTACTTCCGTTCCTACTGCAGCGATGTCCAGTCGGTCTACCAGTGGCGGCGCGCGAGGAGGAGCTTCCTCCAGATCAGTATCGGGCGGTTCCAACAGTGGCGCAGCGAGCAGCTACTCTCCCGGCTCTATCGCATACCCTCAAACTCCCCCATCTTTCGCGACCGAAACCTCAAGTGGCTTTGGAGCTGGAGATGCGACGCTCAATCCCGCCCTTAGTGGTCCTTTTGGGTCCACGCCGCTGCATTATAGTGGAAGAGCGGCTTCTTTGCCTGGTGGATCGAACGGCAGATCACGGGCGAGCACGTCTGGCTTTCATCAGATGAATGGCATGGCAGGGAGCGATGCTGGAGGTGCGGGGTCGCATACCGGATTGGGTCTCGGCGGCCTTGGGACTTCGACCGCAGCTAGCGGATCAAGCGCAGCAGCAGCCTTGGCTGTGTTGGCTCAGCAAAATGGTCAGCTAGCACAACAACTGGCTGTCATGGGAGGCTATTTACAAAATCAAAATGCCGCAGCAGCGATGCAGCAGGCTTATGCTCAGCAGTGGAATGCGGCGCAGCAACTGTCGTACGAACGGCATACGGCGGAGTTGACGAATTGCATCATTGCATTCTTGAGTCCCATCTTACCTACGGAAGAAGAGTACCGGATCAAGGAGGCCACGAGGAGGCAATTGGAGCGACTTGCTGGCAAAGTCAGTCCGGGCGCTAAGCTGCTGGCATTCGGTAGCATGGCGAACGGATTCGCTCTCAAAAATTCCGGTGAGCTTGAGGCGTCGGCTTCTGTAAGGAGAACGCACGCTCCAATTTGCTGATTGCGATTGCTGCATGACCTCAGACATGGACTTGTGTTGCTTGATCGGCAAAGATGAAAATGGCAAGACACCAGAATTCAATGCGTCTGAATTGGTGGAGACGTTGGGCAACTTAATACGGCAAGGTACGCGCCAGGAGGTGTAGGGCGCCTTGGTGCACAACCTTATGCTTGATGCCTTCTTTTCCTCACGCAGAGACAGACTTTACAGTCATGCCTCTTCCCAAGGCTCGCATACCAATCATCAAAATCAGCAGGCGTGAGTATCTCGTCGCTCGTTTCTCCTACTTTGCCAGGTCTTCGCTCACAAGTCGCCCTTGTGCAATCGCGCTTTCTGCCAATGCAGCGCCGAGCGCCGAGCTCCCTTACGAAATATCTTGCGACATCGGATTTGAGAATCGCCTTGCATTAGAAAATACCCGTTTGCTCTTGAGCTATGCGATGGTCGACCCACCACGACTGCGCACTTTGGTGCTCTTCTGTAAGTCCGCAATGTTTGTTAGGGTCACTCGAGAAAAGCTTTCAGCTGAAGCCCGTGCTCTTTCATGGTCATGTCAGTGAAAGTGTGGACGAAAAGGCGGAAGCTCAACTCGCCGTACACAGGCACGCTTTCCTCATATGGCTATACCTTGCTCGTCTTATTTTTCTTGACACACGTTAAGCGTGAGTGCACGTGGAGCGTCGTTGCTGTCACACCCACTGATACTTCTTGTCTCGCTTTGACCAACAGGCCCATCTGTCCTCCCAAACTTGCAGAGAATCCCGCCGCCAAGGGTACTGACGCAAGAGGAGATTGAGCTGAACGGCCACAACATTTACTTCTACGACGATGTCGCCACCCTGCGGCAGGAGTGGGCCTCGCAGAATACTGAAAATGTCGGAGAACTTCTGATGGACTTCTTCAGATATTTTTCGAAGGAGTTCGCGTACAGTCGAGACGTGATAAGTTTGCGGACCGAAGGCGGGCTCGTACCCAAGGACGGCGATACTTGGTCCGCAGAGGTGAGTGCAGTGAGACGACCGACCCCACATAAGCCAGTGCACTGATCCTCTTCGTCCTTTTGCTGCCGCCAGCTTTGTATTGAGGATCCCTTTCAATTGGGCTACAATGTATCGCGCACAGTCACGAAAGATGGTTTATACACCGTGAGTCGTGCCCCTGCTTTCGCACCTCCTTGCCTATGCTCACTTCGCCTTGCTC